ACTCACAAGGTAGCCACTCTTAAAACCATATCCTGCTTTATCATCTACTTTACTCTACATGGGACCATAATTTACACAATGAACCTCATGGTCTATTGAAATAGGCTCGAACTAGGAATTGAGACCATTAATTCATCAGGAAAATGTTCATTGAGGTAATAAATCAAGTGAGAAGTAGGGTCATATTTTCATAGGCTTCTATACAATCGGACTTGTTTTTGCCAACAGCAGAGTTGCCCCCAGCTGGCTTTTAGACCACATGCAGGTTTAAAGCATTCCTGCTTTAGCTTCACTTTTTAGTCCTGAAGGCTATGTCCAGATCTTTAATACAACACATCTTTTATACATGTCCAATACACAATGGCAGTAGCAAAACAACCAACCAAACAAAAAATTGGACTTAAAGCCTAATAATGTCCTTCTGGTCATGGTTACATGCATATAATGCGAGAGAAACTTCAGTTGTCACGTGGCTTGTATCTAATTAAAATGGAAGCTTTTGTTTGGCTGCACTATAAACATTTACAGTGGCTTCTGTTGCATTTCTGACAAAGTAGCTGTTCAGCAAGTGTTTGACATTGTATTGATCTGCACATTGACCATTTGTGTCATCAAATCAACTAGGACAGAAATCTTAGGCCCAGTTCAGACTAAAGATTGAAGACAAGACTAGCTGAAACTTGCAACGACTCGCAATGTGCCAGTCCACAATGTTCTGCTAACCTGCCAGTTTACATCAATGCGACTAGACGAGATGGTGTATGGTCTCCATAGCAACAACTCTGTACACCCATTCAAACTTCCGGCTGTTCAGGTACAAGTAACAACTGAGTACTCTCTAAATGTGTGTATATGGGACATGTGCACTCGGCAGTCATAAGCAGCAGCAACTCACCGTCCAACACCGACACACTGTGAGGATTGAGACAGACATATGTCAGTAGCAGCGGGGATCTAAATGAGATGGACACCGGCTCAGCAGGGACAAAGGGCTCTTGTCAGAGAATGCCACTACAAGCAAACACGCTGACTACTGACCTGACCAGCTGACTGCACTACAAGCTGATTGGCTGTTAAAACTGGTGATGTGCCATACGTTCTAAAACCAGCCTTAAGTTTAGACGAGCCAGTTCACACAGGTACATATTTTCAATGCAACATTCTAAAAGAGTTTCGTCTTGTCCCAAATCTTTGGTCTGAACTGGACTTTAAGGATTCCAAAGGGAAGGATGGTTAGTTAAAAACTGGAAAAGGCCAATCAAAACAAACTGTGCATTGACAGTATAGTGACTAAAGGAGCGATGTGGGGAAAAAGAGATGTGTGGACAGATGGAGGATGACTGCTAAGACAAAAAAATGAAGAAAATTGTAGGGATTTTTTAAATGTAGAATGACAGAAAGATTGCAGACATAAAGAACCTCAGAACATTTTGACACTGAATAGATGTAGTTAATATGACAGCCTGTATCAACACTGAAATCCAGTGGTGCCAAAGCTCAAACTGAGCCAATTTCTGTGGCTGTCCACAGCTGCTACATTCACTGTTTCATAAAATGAGAACTGATTTAAACAATTTCCAAAGCTGTTTTGATGTGAATTTGATTTTGGCATTATATGATATTGCGAACATTTGTGGTAGCCCGGGTTAATGCTGAAGCTACTGAATGTCGCTGTCTATCAAATGCTTGCTAGAAAAACAGAGAATGTGCAGGAAGACTGCAACAAATGAGTTTTCCTCTTCACTGGATCCAAAGCAGAGACAATGGGCAGCTACACAAGACCAAAGACTAACAAGGGTCAGTAAGGACACGGAGGAAAACTAACAGGGTAACAGATCTGCATGAACACACGTACAGCAAAAGGCTGGCTCGCACACATCTGCATGCTAAATTAAGTAGCATCCACGATGAATGCAATACAAATGCGCTCATGCACAAACTCGCGCACTCGTTTGTCTTCAAACAATGGTGAAGGAGACATACATTTTCGCCCTGGGTCATGAATTAACACACTCCCACACAGCTGACAAAAAGGTGCACAAAGGCATGTAGCGGAGCATATTCATACACGGCCTTGATATGCATATGTGCAAATGTATCAAGACAAAGAGGCAACATTAAGCAGGAGAAGAGAGGTGGTAAATGAGAGCTTGGCTCAGTGCAGCACTGTTAAGCCTCTGCATTTTGAGATGTTTCTTAGAGGGTTTAGATGTGGAGGGTTTGTTTTATAGCCTCTCCTCCTTCATCTAACCCCCCGCCGCTCCGCCAGCAACCAACCCTCTCCATCCCCAGCGCCGTAGCTTCCCCACTTCCTGCTCTCCACTCTACTGCCTTTAGCCTCCTTCTGTCTGTTCTCCTCATGCAACTGGCAAAGGAGGAGAGAGCCTCTAACACCACTGCAACAGCATCAGTCTGGTCTGGAACCGTGTTAAGGTCAGTCTTCTTCACAAACATACACACAGCTCCATCATAAAACATGCAGACATATGTAATGCATACACATATCTAGAGCCCGAGGTAGTCTGTAGTTTCAACACCATAACAATGCTCCTGGTGAAAGGCTCTTTAACCAAGTGGATTTTCCAGTCAAGTCGCCTGAAGAAAATGTTGGCATTGTACATTTCTGCACCCACAAATATTTTCCATTAGAATGTTTTCTCCATATTATATCAATGTTTCTAAAGAGATGTAGTATATGGGCTGACTGTCATGAGGAGGTGGAGGGAATGGTGGATGGCATGACACCTTGGCAAGATGGCTGCTAATGGCAGACCACTGCAGACCATTGTCGAGACAAACAAACAACAAAATCGTATAGATTTTAGCCAGTCATTGCTGTATTTCTAGTGGCTTTTTACCCATCAAATGTGGGTAATTTTTAGTGACAACTAATTGTTTTTTCAGCGGGAACAGTGCCGCAAAAAATGTGTTTTTCTCTGACGGCTTCTACAGCTGCGATTGTGCTACTATAACTGTTTTTTTAAGCCCAAACATGATCTTTTCCTAATCGTAACCAAGTAGTTGTGCCTAAACATAACCATATGTTAACTGCAGTGTTGTTGACACGTAAAATTTCATCGTATTTGCCTCATCATGACATAGAATGTAACGTATCATTTTATAGGACCAAGAATGCTCGACACGTGAGCTACAGGAAGCATAAATATGTATAACATGTTAAAGCTAAAGCTTTGATCATTGTGCACTTAATACTGTAGCTAACATATTTAAAGACACATCTTGGAGGTTGTGCTACATCACGATTAGTAGAATTGTGTCTTGTAAAGGGGATATGTCTCTCATATTGCTTAGATGCGTTTCCACATGCACAGCACAGGAAAAAAAAAACAGGATTATGTAGGACAAGCAGGTGACCTTTGTTTTGTGTGGTGTAATTAGGGTATTTTGTTGCAGTTGCTGCGTGGGGATAAGGTCCTGTCAGGGTTCATTTTTTACATAGTGGAGAGGAGGAGCGTGTGTGCATGTATCTGCTTTGGCGATTATGCTGGAGAGCGAGAGATAAGTGGATACACACAGTAAATGAGAGACAGATAATGTGCAAAAAATGGCATGAAAATGACAGGAGACAGAGGAGGGGAGGAAGGGTTTGATTATTACAAAAATACAAACAACTGGAGAGGAGGGCAAAACAGAGGAGCCACAGAGGAGCATGGACGATGGAGATGAAATAGGAACATGGTGAGACAGGGGGATGAGAGAGGGAGAGAAAGAAAGAGAGAGAAAGAGTGGTGGGGGTGGTGGTGGAGGGGGAGCAGAGGTCTCTTAACCTGGTGCGACGGGGCGTGTGCTTGTAAATAAACATCAGCTTGAGATTATTCCAAGCACGAAAGCCCAGACCGTGGGGCCCTGAGGTCAGAGTGGGCCCATACCTGGCTCCCTCTCTCTCTCACACAGACACACGCATGTGCGCACACACACACACACACACACACACACACACCCTTATCTACATCCACACCTACAAAGACTTTGTGTTGAGAGCAAAGCCTATTCAAATACTGGTGCATGCACACAAACGTATGAAAACAGACACATACATCTGGGATATTGAAAAACCCACAAGCATGCGCGCATCCAAACACACACTCATCTGCACACACAGACACACACACCCAAATGTAAACTGACAAATGCACACATACATACACACTAAATCTAGCAAGACAAACAATGGATTTGAACAAAGAGAAAACGCACACTGCCGAAGTACCCACTCACACGGTGCCCACAGACTCACAGAAAACATTCCACACAAGCCTGCATGTACACACACACACACGCGCACAGTCTCTGTACTGTTAACACCCCAGATGTCTGCAGACATCCAGTCATCCCTAGCTCAGACGCTGTGTGTCATCCATCTCGTTTTTTTGTTCTTCCCTTGTTGTTTTTGAGGAACCGACTGATGAGTCCAGACACTGGGATGTGGGATTATTCACAATGACATAATATGTCGCTAGATTCACAGCATACTGACACTAATCCGTCAACTACATCTTGCATCCCCGAAATCAGGAGCACAATGAGTGGGCCCACATCACCTTTGGCTGACCCTCCCTGCCCCTCCCAGTGATACTAAAGGTAGCCTGTCTTTATTAGGGAGTTACTGCAACAAACTTGGAGACTTTTTCAGTCTTGCCTCATACTGCAGGAATGAGTCTGATCTAAGGACAATAAATCCTAAATTTCTGGCAGTACTTCTCAAAAATGCAACTGGATAACGCACAATGTTTTCATGGACAAAGAGACACAGTACAAATCATCATCACAAAATCATATAGACGGCAACGGTAAAACAGCCTATGAGTCCATGACATTTACTCTTAATGGAGAAAAAGGTTGGTTATCTCAGTTTAACTTCGATGTTGCTCGGGCCCTTTGCTGTCCTGTTGTTGTGGTGTCACAGATTGCATACACAAATTACCATCAAAACATAAAGATAAAGAAACAAAAGCAAACTTATTTATCATTCTGCTTACTGTTCAATGCTGGGGGAAAGGTAGAGTTTAGGGAACACTTGAGTGGCCTCAGCATCCTCAAAGCTCACCGAGAGAAGGGCCACGTCCTCTCCAGGGTCCAGCGCTGTGTCCTAAGAGAGACAAAGCCAGGTTTGTAATGTTAGACAGTGAAAATGTTCTCCATAGGCATAAAGCTGGGACTCATTTTCATAGCCACAGCCGGGAAGTCCACACTTTATTTTTTTAGAGTTAAGGCTAGGGTATGCATGAAATGAACTAGTTTGTAGGATATCAACATTCAGAGGATTAATATAGCAGCAAACATCCATTTGCTATGTAAAGACATGGCGGAGGGATTTCGCCTTGAGTAGAGAATAAGGTCACACTCCCCCTGTGAGTGTTGTAATTCAAGCTTCTCTGCAGTTTGTTGTGGTAAGCCAGTCCGGCCCTGTATGTGCGTTGGGGTTTCTGTGTATCCTTTTGGTAAGCTCATCGCTGCCACTTTGCACTGGGCTCATACAGTGGTATTGCTAACAGCTGGATGGCAGCATCATTGAATATAGTACCCACCCTCCAGGTCCACCCCTTGTTAACACTGTTAGCTCTGTCAGCACTGTTGCTACTGTTACAGCTGCTTATGGAGTTAGCACGCTTAGCGGCTAGCTGCCAGCTCAGTCACCTCCATGTTGAGAGCCATGTGCAGACAATCCTGCCTCAAGATTCTGAACCATAGATATGCTTTGAATGTCACATACAGCTCCTTTAAATGTCAACCCACATAGATAAACTTCTGTTTTATTAAATGTATCAATTCACACTGACTCTGAGACCACAGGACCCAAAGCGGAAGTTTTTCTACTGCAATTCTTTTTTCTTTAATTAATTTCAACAGACAGCTATTTAAATTACCCAAATCTCCTGCTGTTTAAATGTTATGAACTTATTAACCTTCCAGACTAATTGATAAAGGCTCCCTATGAGCTTGCTTTTTCCCTATAGGCAGATTCCCTCCACCCACTATGTTGGGGGGAATCAATCGATGAATAAAACAATGCTGATTTCTTCCTGTGGAGCCTAAATTAAAATTATCTTTGTTCAGACAGTTTTTGATATCAACATGGTGAAGACATTTTAGCTGCTGTCGCCTCAGATCTGCAGCTGATAGATAGCTCTGCTGGAGTCGATGCAGATTGAACAAACAGATTGCTTCAGTAGTGCCGCACCCACATCTCGACTTTGATGTGGGTTACCAGTAAAGGCAAAAGTGTTACTGTTCCAAGAGGCCACACTTGAAGGCAGGGCAAAAAACCCTGTCTGCGATCATAGAGAAGAGAAAGATGGAGTCATGGTTCAAATGGAGATTAATGGAGCACACTTTTGGACAGAATGTCCTTACAGGCATTCATATTTGTTGCCACTTGTTTGTATACACAAAGAGAGCACTTGAGAGAAGTTTAATTCCTGCCTACCTTTTCAGCTTCTTACATCTGGCTGACGACTGTGTGAAATGGGCATAATTGTCAACTTTTGAAAGGTACAAATTTTGTTGGATGTGGCCCCCAAATTTCCATGACTGGTGTGGGGGGAGGACTCTGGGGAGCACATTGTTTGAAGCATACTAATGCCTTTAGGTTCTGGATTCGGTTCCAAGTTTCCAGGTCGTCACTTACCCATAAAATAAGGTACCTACTGTATGTCCCATTACTTTTTGTTTTGCTTTAGCAGTTGGAGAATCAATCTGAGTTATTAAAATTGTCCAAAGAATCTATATAATATTATGTCCAGATAAGTTAGTGATTGACACCCCTAGGGATTATACAGTTCTATGTGTGCACAACACGTGTGCAAGTCCCAAAATGTTGAAGGAGATGGAGAGGAGAAGAGGAGAGACACCAGAAGAAACATCTGTTTTGCTTCATGCCACATTAGCTTCAACAGCTGCACTATGAGGCAGAGCTGATGACTGGGAGCACCAATCAAATCATGTGTGAGATGGATGCAGAGGCCACCCGGAGCTGCTCGCTATACAAACCTCGTCTGTCTCTCCAAGGTTCTAATTTCTCATTCTGTGATGTTTTTCCTAGAGCATGGCTACTTCTCAGGCACTGTCATTAGTGCAATTCCACATCAAGTACCATTCTGGTCTCTCCCTCTGCTGACAGAGGCTCGGCAGCGTTAATCAAATGTCTTACAGATGGTTTGAACTCATCCATTTGTTATAATCGCTGCCCGCCGTGGTGAGAGGAAATCTAACCACCATACATGACGGACAGAGGCGCAGCGCAACCAGTTTGCAGCAGGGCAGCCTCAAACGTGATCAGAATTATTAACTAATTACTCACACTCTGCTGATCACACAACCAAACTGAGCATTCGTTTGAGAAAAACACGGCTGAGTGGGTGGATAAGGAAATTCCTTCACTGAACATTTTCTTTTCCAGTGAAGTGAAATTAATTTTTCTGCATTTGATCTAATGATTTTGACCATTGTGTTTAATAAGAGAAAAAAAATCAAAAGCATTAAAATCAATGTAACACTAATGTGACAAAGAATACAAATATAAGGGTTATCAATGAACAGTTCCTGAATCCACGGCACATTTATACTGTGGCACAAGCAAATATCAACAGTCACAACAATGGCTGCTGCTCTGCTGACGATCATGCAGTCTGCCTTGTCGTGGCAGATACATTAGGGGGTAAAACATAAAGAGTAGAAGGGAGGCAGTGAAAGACAGCGGGGTGTGTGGCATCCAAAAGTGTTGCCTGATGGAATCAGCTCACATCAATATAGTGTGCATCAGTAAACAAGAACTGCTCTCTGTCTCACAGCAGCGCTCGTGGCTTCTGCCGCTGACGATATGGGACAGATAGGAACAGGCACGGAGATGTGGGGCCGGGGTGAGCGTGGGGTTTGGGAAAATATTGTTTTGCTCCAGTTTGTAGCTGTCAAGTCCCGTTCTCATCTTTAAAGGTGATTTAATGGATGCTTCTTTTGGACTGGGAGAGAGTAAACAGACAGATGAGAACCAACAGGAAGGTGAGAGGGCCAGAAGAAGAACATAGGGCAGCTCTGTACGGGCTGCAGCGGACCATCCCTAGATTCGGTCGGACTAAGGGTGCTGTTGAAGGGAGGGCCTTTTTGTGGAATGATTCAGACTCATCTCGTCCAAGCAGACAGCGAAGAGCTGTCACAAGTCATATTGCATCAGTGAAACAAACAAACAAAAACTAACGGCAGACCCTTTAACTTTTAGCTATTGCCATTCTAAATTAATTTGCTGTGCAAAGGAACTGAAGCAATGGAGATACAATTTTGTTTTTGCCTTGTTTAGTTATATATAACTAAACATCAAACGTGATCATTTCAAAGCCTCACTTTCATGTAAAACCTTAGAAGTAACATGCATACTAAGACCACCATTTCACCTCTTCAGTATATGAGTGTAAAATTAAAAAATAAAATCCAGACAAGCATCAGAGTCTACAGCTACACTAATGACTCTGTGAGGCTGTACTTATAATAGGCACAGCTCAGCTACAAAGCCATGCTTTGAGCACAATGCTATCATATAATTTTTTTTTTTTTACTTTTTTTAGTTATTTGATGCTATAAAAAGTGGGTTCGACGGCATGATTCACAGCTATGTGTGCCAATCGGTGTGCTTGCAATCAACTGCGATGCTCACAATTGATCAGACTGGTGTATGGGTGGGAACTCAATAGGCCCGTTTCCACTGAAGAAGTTCCTGGTACTATTTGGGGGGCAGGAACTAATACAGGAACGTCCTCTCGTTCGGCCCTCTCAACTGCTGTGTCTCCACTGAGAGAGCGGAGTACGAGGAGGGTTCCTGTAAAGTTACGGGCTCTGGATGTGACGTAATCGTTGCACGACCATTTACTGGGGCGACGTAGGGACGCCGTTAGCTAATAGCCCTTACCGGTGTCTGTAATAACTCAGTAAATGGCCCGTGAAAAAAAAAATTTTTTCCAGTGGATGTCTTAGTTACAACATGATTGAGCTAACTGGAGTAGTTTCATGTCATATCCGACAACGGGAGGCTTTTAACAGATGACGGCCTGCTGTTAGCTGTCCCTGTCAGCGGCAGCCACTGATGCTTTCTAGACATCGTGATTTCCCATAACTGAATAAATACCACACATAGCAACACAAAACTGCTTTGCTAGCTCAATCATGTTGTAACTAAGATATCCGCTGGAAAGAATATTTTTTTCACGGGCCATTTAGTGAGTTTTTTTTACATGGCGGCGGAAGCTATATGAACGAGCTAACCCTTGTCTGCTGAGTTTTAAAAATGCCAGCACCAAGTAATCCCCAAGCCCCAGCCGGGAGTCTTTCGGGGCCGTTCTGAGTACCTACCCCGAGGCAGGGACTTGTTTAGCCCCTGTAAAAGTTCTGGAACTCTGTCCTTCAGGGGTGGTTCCTTCGGTGGAGACACGCACCAACGGCCCTGGCCCCATAAAATTACCCCAAAGTTCCTGCGGTGGAAATGGGCCTAATAGTGTGAAGATCATTACTGTGCAGATTCTGGCTCCACATGACCTCACCAGTGCAAGTTGACAGCGGCTATATCCTGGATATTTTGGATTCATTTTTCTACAGTGGGAGGAAGTGGAGATGCATTGTCCATTTTTATAAAGAGTCTACAGTTTTGCATGTCAGCATGCTAACATTTGCTAATTAGCATTGAACACAAAGTACAGCTGATGGGAATGAGTGTTTCCAGTATAACAACATAAACCAGTACATTGAATACTAAATGCCAAATGATGAAACATAACCAAAATGATCACCAAAGGTGTTGCTAGACCATCGTGGGGGGTTTCTGAATTTGTGTAAAACATTCATGGTAAACTATCCTGTAACTCTTCTGGCATTTCATTGAAAACCACAAATGTCAACCAGATGGTGACACTAGAGAAGTCAAGGGATATCCAAGGCTTCTTCCTCTGTGGACTATGAATGTCTGAACAAACCTTCATGTCTGGACCGAAACAACGGACTGGCCAACACCTCAGGTCATTACAATCATGGGAATTTACACTTGGAGAAAAAAACGTGAGTCAGTGGGATAACTGATGAAACTGTGGGTGACAAAACAGCTCAGTG